TATATAATAAAACATATTTTAATATCATTTTCTTCATATCCAATTGTATTTACTCTCTATTTTGCTACCTAAAAAACCAGTCTGTTGTCAGTGGAACACTTCCAAGACTTCCAGCTCCTAATCCATACACTCAAGTCATTAAGACTCAAAACCTACTTTTTGAAGGCTGTTTAAACAGTACTGGAAAAAAACACAAAATGCATTGTTGATTTTTTCAAAAGTATGACCTTTAAACAAAGAACACAAGTAAAATAGCTCTTTGAAAGCCAAGCAATTAATAATGGTAAAGACTTTTCTTTGAAAAGAACTCCCCTCTTTTGGTACTTACTTTGCTCTCTGCTCCCGAGAGAGCTTTGCGTTCATGTTATCCAATTCCTGGCAGAGCTCCCGACGCTGCCGTTTCTCGCGCTGCTCCAGAAGCAGCTGCACTCTGGCATCCTCCATGCGTTTTCTGTCCCATTCAGCATCTCTCTGCTGCTCCTGCTCTTCCAGCCTCTACAGGGATGACAAAAATGCCTCGTTTTCTCTTTGTTCAAAGATGAAACAGAGTACATAAAGAATGTACTGGTGAATTTGCCCACCCAAATTGCCTTCACTGAACGCTAGGGGTAGCATTTGAAACGGGGAGAAGAGAGTAAGGACTTCCAAACCAGGCAGGAGCAAGATACTGCAGATCAGAGAGCTGTTCTTTTCCACGGAGCAAGGCAGACTCCCACCTCTGAGCAAGGTAACAAAATTAGGACCTGCTGCCTGGCAGGAGTTAGTTAACCACTAGATTACCATTTCTCTCTGACATACTAGCTCTCTAAAATAGCAGAGCAGCAAGGGAGAATTTTATTATCCTTTTAAAATTGTTAGCAAGAGTTTTAACTTCCTGAGGTGAGAAGAGCATAGACATCAGTATGGCTTATAATATGGCTAACTGTGAAATAACCAAGCCATCAACACCACATCAGTAGACCCAAACTGATTTTTCCTCTGCCTCATTTCTTCTGACATCACGTTGAACTGAACTAAGAAATCAGGCCTGCACAAACTCCCTTTTCTTGCTTGCACTCATTTTCTGCCACCTTAACCACTTGAATGGGTTTACTTTAGGGTCACAGGAGAGCCAGGAAAATGACAAGTCTGCCTTCAGCTTTAAGGTAAGACATAGTGTAGCCTATGGTATTACAGAGATTAAAATGTACAACTGAGCAGTTATTCCATAGCTGTCATGAGTTCAGCCTCTGCACTGAGCCAAGCAGCTTTCTACTTCACAATACCTAGTCCTGAACAGTGGTGGCTGCAGAGGAAGGCTAGATGTCTTCACTCTGCCTACTTCACAATCCTTTAGAGAAGCCACTATGAGCAATATTTAGTGTTCCTATTGTAATTCTGTTCTAGAGCTTGGCTCATACCGGTGTGGGACAGTAGACATTACATTCTATCACATTCATGAACTTTTAGGACCACGACAGATGTGTGAGCAAGATCACTGGGCCTGCTCTATTTGTCTTGCTGGGGTAGCCTTGAGCATGAGAATGCTGCTTTGGCCTGCCCTGCTTTCACCTTCAGCTCCTAGCTTTTCTTCCCCCATGGAGCAGTCCATTCCTGCAAAGGTCATCCCTTGCAGCCAGCTTGTGCAGTCTCAGGTCCTAAACTGCACCATGACGCCTGTGTCTCAGGCTCTGCAGGACTTTGCTCCTCAGCTGGACCACCACGGGCCATGCCCCAAGGTTCCCTAGGCTCCTTGGCCCTGGGCTCCACAGCAACCTTCCTCCCAGCCCAACTCTAGGGCTCCAGCCTACTCCTGCTGCTCCACGACATTTTCCAGCTGCTTCAGTGACACTGTGTTCAGTCTGACTGATCAAAGTTTGGGTAAAATGCAGATCTATGGAAAAGAGTCCTACAACAGGACATGCAGGGCAAACAAGGATAGTTTTCTTCTACAAACATGGTCTATAATACTACTACAACCAGGAATACAGAACATGCATGTGAGCTCACATACCTGTCTCTCCAGAACTTGGTCCTTTTGGGAGTCACGAATTGCCATCAGCTGATCCTGACTCATTCCCTTCCATCGATCCATGAGCAGACGATGTTTACCAAAGCGACTGATTGCTTGGTCAGGGTTTTCGGTAAGTAAATCTCCATTAAGGAGGTAGGAAATTTCATCCATGTCATCCTTCAGGTTTTGAGACTTCTCCAACCTCTTCTTCTCAGCTAGTTCAGCAACCTACATTCAGTGGAAGGAGAGAAATGATGCTTTTTTTATGAACTAAGGGATGAAATTAAGTTAACCTATCATAACATTTCTTTCCAACTTTCATACAGTTGTCAAAAGCATCACATACAAATACTATGATCATGGTCTTACTGGCCAAAATCAAAGGTCTACTAGCAAACATTTCTGTAGTGTTGTCAGAATAATTTTCATAAGAAAAGCCAGAAGTAAATAAAAAATAATTTCACATTTACCCCCAAGCAAGTATCAGTGAGTATTTGGAGGCCAGACACAATACTGAAGAAATTTATGATAAAAATTGACAATCTCAAATCACTAGCCTTGAAACATATGTGACATACTGAATTCAGGTGGAGAGTGTGGGTAAGCCCTCAGAACAGAGACAGGAGATGTCAGTGTAAAGTCTGAGGACACAGCCTTGAATCTGTTTGCAGATATAACATGCAAATTTGAATCATATTATGTGACTATATCTGTTATACTAGAAATCATCATATGCATTTCCTATGGAAATCACTGTTCCTAACACCGACTATAAGGCCACAGTCTCCTGTTCAGATGAAATTTTCCCCTTACAAAACTCCAGAAAGCAAATAGAATGATTTTACTGTAACACAATTACCTTCCACAGAAGAACTATTCTAAGGAAACTAGTTTGAGGTAGATAATGCTGTCCATCATTTATTTCTAATCCTCATTCTCTGTAAGGGATAAACTAAACCATCTGGCACAATGCATAGTTCCAGCCTCCCACTGGACAGGAGACAGAAAATCTCCTTCCTGCTCAGGCACACAGGCTGCCAGGCCTGTCTCTTGCACGCACAGCTTTACACATCCATCTTGACTGCAACAGATCAGTGGACAACTGTCTCCAGTTTGTCCAAGAGTGTCTCATGCTCTGTTCAAAAATCACTGGCTTGAACATAGTCACTTTATGAGTTATGTAGAACAGGTTTGTACTTCTCTTGCTGATCAGTAGTTCACTGGTTGGCACACGCACGTGGAAAAAGTCCCCACATGAGACCCCACCTGGAGTACTGCACACAGTTCTGGCGTCCCCAGCATAAGGACACGGAATTGATGAAGCAAGTCCAGAGGAGGCCAAGAAGTTGGTAAGAGGACTGGGGCACTTCCCCTGTGAAGACAGGCTGAGAGAGTTGGGGCTGTTCAGCCTGGAGAAGAGAAGGTTGTGTGGAGACCTCAGAGCAACCTTCCAGTATCTGAAGGGGCTACAGGGAAGCTGGAGAGAGACTCTTTGTTAGGAACTGCAATGACAGGACAAGGAGTGATGGGGATAAATTGAAAGAGGGGAAATTTAGATTAGATATTAGGAAGAAGATTTTAATATGAGGGTGATGAGACACCGACACAGGTTGCCCAAGGAGGCTGTGGCTGCTCCATCCCTGGCAGTGTTCAAAGTCACGCTGGATGAGGCTTTGAGCATCCCGGTCTAGTGGGGAGGTGTCCCTGCCCATGGCAGTGGGGGTTGGGACTAGATGACCTGTAAGGTCCATTCCAACCCCTGTGATTCTATGATTATCTGTCATGCTCTTGTTTATCTTACTGCACAGGGTTTTTTCTCTGATTGACTTTCTGCCAGGGTAGGGTCAGGGCAGCCACAGCCTCCCTGGGCAACCTGTGCCGGTGTCTCAGCACCCTCACAGGAAAAAACTTTTTCTAATATCCAACCCAAACTTCCCCTCCTTCAGTTTGAACCCATCACTCTTTGTTCTATCATTGCAGCTCCTAACGAAGAGTCTCTCTCTGGGTCCCCTGTAGGCCCTTCAGAAATTGAAAAGTTGCTCTGAGGTCTCTATGCAGTCTTCTCCAGGCTGAACAGCCCCAACTTCCTCAGCCTGTCCTTATAGCGGAGTTGCTTCAGTCCTCCTATCAACTTCGTGGCCTCCCCTGGACTTGCTCCAATAGTTTCATGTCCTTCTTATGTTAAGGACACCAGAACCGTGTGCAGTATTCCAAGTGGGGTCCCATGAGAGCAGAGTAGAGAGGGAGAATCACCTCTTTCAACCTGCTGGCCACACTCCTTTTGATGCAGCCCAGGATTTGATTTGCTTTCTGGGCTGAAATGATATGAAGACAGAGAAAGGCTTATGTCTTGTTTCAAAAGGTTCCAAGGCAACCTTGGTAAGCAATCAAGAGACATTGTACACAAGTACCAAAGAGGCAGCTAAAGTGCCAAAGAACAGTGGTTGTGGGGAATTAACATAAGCAATAGAGACAAAAAACTGCTGTTAGCAATGTTTCCACACAAGGCAAAAGAAAAGAAGACAGACACAGGTAAGGCCATACAAGGACTAGTATTAAAAAAACAGAAGGCAGCATGGGAGGCTTTGCTCTACCCTGGTTTACAGGCTCAAAGTCCCTAAGAGACTGGGGAGTTGCTGCTGCTGCTAGTCAGCAAGCTAAGAACCAGGTGGGGCAATTTTGGCAGAGGCTAACTAGGTAGAGCATAGCTAGATCGCTGGATCCTTTATTCAGTTGAAAAAGTGAATGAAATCTATCTTGCAATTACTGAAACAACCTTACGAGTTAGCTGCTAAGAAATCTCTGTGAAAACACCACTACTCGTTGTAGTTTTGCCCATCTTATTTTCCTTCTGTCTCTCCACTTCTTTAAACACACAAACAAACCAACCCCCGATTAATTTACCTGTGCTCTGTTGAAATCTTTAGTAGCTGCACAAACTGCACGTCTGCTTTCCTCCTGTTTTCGGTGTTGCTCCATAGCTTTATGATCAAGTTCAACCCTAAACTTGTCATGAAGATCATCTACATTAGATTAAAATGAAATATGGTCAATATTCATGGAGAGAATGTGCCATATGAGTAAACCAGGGGGAGGGGCTATAGATACAGCAGGCTGAATTACATAAGTATTTCCAAATCCTACCATCAGAGCTTTCCATTTTAGGATTTCAGGTGATTCATCAATCAGTTATGTAACCTTTCTTGTCTTAACAGTCTGACAGTGTTAAAATGAAAATGCATGTTAAAACTATATTAGCTTTTTTGTTACCTGCCAGTTTTTGGTCAGCTAAAGCATTCCTCAAGTCTCTCTGCTGCTGAAGAGACCACTCTCTTGACTGCTCCTTTTGGTACTTCATCCTCTCATCATAGTTTAAGTCTTCACCCATGAACTTCTGCAAACCAGATATAGTACATCGAGGATCAGTGTCCGAAATCCGAGCAGGTCTGTCCTTCTTCAGGGCTTGTGGGTCATACAGGTCAAATTCACGTCTTGTTTCTGGTGTCTGAAAGTTCTTATGAAATTCATTGAGGGCCTTATTGATGTTTCTGATTTCATTTTTCTGCTGTTCTTCTAGCAGACATATGATCTTGTCATTCTCCTTCATTTTATTAGCTAGAGAAAAATCAGCACAATGAAAACATAACTCTTAGAGGTGCACATGTGCGATGAAGTGAACACATAAGATGAGAATACAATTTTCAAGATGACTAAATGGAATGCAAGTCTTCAAACTTTCACAACATAAGATTATTAATGTTACAATGAAAAACAAAGACAATGATACTCCTAGAACTATGAGGTTTCATTCGATGAAAACCTGCAGGAGCACACTAAATGTACTGTTAACCAGTTCTTCCCATTCACTCATAGCTAACAGCTACAACTGAAATATATTATGTTGCTTATTAAGCAGCAAACACAAATGGAGTTCCCAATGAAGCAATATAGACAGCTCTTCCATAGTTCCAATGATTTTTCTAACTACAGTACTAAAATCATTGGCTGGCACTAACAGTTTTTGAACAGCTTAATAGCTACTGCCCATTTAATTAAAACTAAACCAATTACAGCATTTTGAGAAAAACAAACAACAACCTGCCCTAAACCAGCCATTGTAGCTATTTAAATATAACTCAGAAGAAAAGATCATTTCCCCTGCTGCCAGATTCCACATTGCACCTGGCAGTGTCCTAAGAGTTAGAGCCTGACAGGTGTATTTTCCAGCCAGGAAAACAGCTGTAGGAGCACAGCATGGAAGTTGGCAGCTCCAATCCAGTTCCTCTTGAAGCTCACAGAGAGCTCAGGCTGTGGGACCTTGTCACCTGATAGTGCAGGAAAGCATGCCAAGCACAGAGGGTCTGAGGTCAGGGGACAGCATGGAATATTTATGTGGCTACGTGTTCTGACTCAGCAATGGCTCCTCTTACA